CAGTATTCTTGCACAGTCTCAAAGTCCACTGGTTTTTGCCAAGTAAGAGAGGCTTTGCCTCATGGAGACCCATTGCACAAGCATTCATAAGCTGATCTGAACGTAGGCCACACAGCTCCCAATAGGACAATCCCAATGAGATTGTTTCTAATTTCTGACTTTTATGAATAGAATATGATTGAGCAAGTGTCTCTGTGGCAAGATGAAGCATCCCTTGGTTATATGCCCAAGAGTGGTAGCTAGATCTTGAGATGGATTGATCCCTATCTTTCTGAAGAACTGGCACACCAATTTCATAGTGGCTGTACAAATTTGCACTCCCATCAGCAATGGATGAGTGTTCCCCCTACTCCACCCTCTCACCAGAATGAGATGATTCTGTTTCACTGATCTTGGCCATTCTGACTAGTGTAAGAAGAGTTTTTATTTGCATTTCCCTGATGACCTTGCATGTTAACATTTCTTTAAGTGTTTCTTAGCCATTTGAGAGTTTCTTTTTTTTTGTTTTTTGAGAATTCTCTGTTTAGAGCTGTACCCTGTTTTAACAAAATTGTTTATTTGTTTTATTGGTATCTAGGATTTTTTGATATTATATATATATATCCTTATATATATTATATATGTTAGCCTTCTATGTGATATAACTCCTCTTATGTGGAGTTGGTAAAAAAAATTCCCATTCTGTTACTGCTTTTTCCAAATGGTGGTGTCCTTTGGCATGCAGAAGCTGTCCAGTTTTATGAGGTCCCATTTATTAATTGTTGATTTTAGTGCATTGTGTTAATGGTGTTCTGTTCAGAAAGTCTTTTCCCGTGTCAATGAATTCAGGGCTACTCCACACTTTATCTTCTATCAGGCTCGATGTATATGGTTTTATGTTGAGTTTTGGAGTTGAGTTTTATGCAGGTTGATAAGTATGGATCTATTTGTGTTCTACATGCAGACATCCAGTTTGCCCACCACCATTTGTTGAAGATGCAACTTTTTCCCACTGTGTATTTCTGGCTTCCTTATAGAAAATTATGCATCCATAGTGTGTGGGATTATGTCTGGGTCTTCAATAGGGTTAGATTGGTCAACAGTTCTGTTTTGGTGCCAATACAGTGCTGTTTTTTTATTACTATAGCTCTGTAGTACAATTTGAGGTTGCGAATGGTGATACCTCCAGCAGTTCTTTTATTTTCAGTATTGTTTTAGCTGTCCTGGGTGTTTTATGTTTCCCTGTGAAGCTGAAAATTGTCCTTTCAAGATCTGTGAAGAACTGTGTTAGGATTTTGATGGGGATTAAATTGAATCTGTTTATTGCTTTTGGTAATATGGTCATGTCTACTACATTAATCCTACCAATCTATGAGCATGGGGAATCTTTTCATCTTCTGATATCTTAAATTTCTTCATTCAGTGTCTTACAGTTTTTATCATATGTTTTTACTTGCTTGGTTAGAATTACCACAAATATATATATATATATGTTTTGAAGGGTGTTGTTTTCCTGATTTCTTTCTCAGTAATTTTGATATTTGTATATAGAAAGGCTAATACTTTGGTGAGCTAATTTTATATTCAGCTACTTTGCTAAAAATGTTTCCCAGTGGAATTTTAGGATTACTAATATATACTATCATTTCATCTGCAAATATAGATATTTTGACTTTCTCCTTTCCAATTTGCTTCCATTTGATCTCCTTCAATTGTCTTATTGCTCTAAGACTTCAAGTACTATATTAAATAGGCATGGAGAGAGTGAACAACCTTGTTGTAGATGGAAGTTTCTGTCCTGCCCCATCTGCAGCCATTTAGTTCCAAATAAACACACAGAGGCTTATGTTAATTATAAACTGTTTGGCTTATTGCTCAGTCACATTACTAACTAGCTCTTAAACTTAAATTAACTCATAATTCTTATCTACGCTTAGCCATGTGACTTGGTACCTTTTCTCAGTAAGTCATTCTCATCTTGCTTCATGTATCTGGGTGGTGATTTCCTCTTTGCCTTCCTCTTCCCAGAATTCTCCTAGTCTGGTGTGCTATTTAGTTGCTAGTATGAGATCTCTCCACTTTTTTTAAATGTAGGCATTTAGTGCTCTGAACTTGCCTCTTAGAAGCGTCTTCATCGTATCTCATAAGTTTGGGTATGTTATATATTCATTTTTATTCTAGTCAATAAAATCTTTAATTTCTTTCTTGGCCAATTTTTAATCTAGTAGTGAGTTGTTCAGTTTAAATGAAAGTTTTATGTTGTTGATATATAGTTTTAATTCATGATGGTCTGATAATATTTGGGGTCTTATTTCAATTTGCTTGTATCTGCTGAGATTTGCTTTGTAACCAAGTATGTGGACAATTTTGGAGAAAGTTTCATGAGGTACAGAGAAGAAGGTATAATCTTTTGTGTTTGTGTGTAATATTCTGTAAATCTCTGTTAGGCCCGTTTGGTTTACAATGTCTGTTAACTTCAGCTTTTTTTTGATTAGTTTTTATCTGGATGCCCTGTCTCCCACTATCAGTGTGTGAGAGTCAACACATGATTAAATCTGTAGTAGTGTTTCTTTTATGAACTTGAGTGCCCTTATGTTTGGCGCATGGATGTTGCAAATTTACATATTCTCTCGATGGATTTTTTCCTTTGTTGACCATGTAGTGTCTTTTCATGTATCTTTTGACTAGTTTTGGTTTGAAGTCTGCTTCAACCTGTAACAACTTTCTTCTTAAGTCCATTTGCTTGACATATCTTTTTCCAGTATTTTACCCTAAGTAATGTCTATCCTTGATGCCAAGGTGAGCATCCATTCTGTTAATCTGTGTCTTTTTATTGAAGAGTTGAGACTATTGATATTGAGAGGTATCAGTGATCATCTTTTGTTGATTCCTATTATTTTGTTGTTGTGGTGGTGGTGGTGGTGTGGTTGCATTGTGTGTGTGTGTGTATGTGTGTGTGTTTCCCCTGTTTTGATGTGCTGGTCTGGGATTATTCATTCCTTGTGTTTTCATGGGTGTGGTAACCTCTTTAGGTTGGAGTTTTCCTTCTAGCACCTTCTATAGGACTAGATTTGTAGATAGATATTACTTTAACTAAGTTTTTATCACAGAATGTCTTCTTATTTCTCCAGCTATTGCAATTGAAGTTTTGTTGGTTATAGTAGTGTCATATGGCATTTGTGGTCTATTATAGCCTGTATAACATCTTTTTAGATCCCTTTGACTTTTAGAGTCTCCACTGAGAAATCAGGTGTTATTCTAATAGGTCTGCTTCTGTATGTTACTTAGTCATTTTCCCTTGGAAATTTTAGTATTATTTCTTTATTGTGTATGTTTAGTGTTTTGACTATTATATGACAAGGGGAATTTATTTTCTGATCCAGCATATTTGGTGTTTTGTATGTGTCTTTATTTTGATAGGCATCTCCCTCTTTAGATGATGGATTTTTTTCTTTAATTTTGTTGATTTTGTGCCATTGATCTGAGTTTATTCTCCTTTTTCTACTCCTATTATTCTTAGATTTGTTTTATCATATCATCCTAGATTTCCTGGATGTTTTGTGCCCAGATTTTTTAGATTTAATGTTTTATTTGACCCTCAGTGTTGTGATCTTGTTAGCTATAGAGTCCTAATGACTTATTATTACATGCCATCCTTTCATATGTCATGGATAGAGGTTTGGCTATATAGTCCAAGCAAACTTATAACGTTAATTGATGTTTTACCTGCTCAAACATAAAACAAAAAATATCTGTAGCAAGTCTTTCTTTGTACTGCCAGCTCCTAAATAATGGCACAGAGATTTATTAATTACAAAAGCTCCGTCTTAGCTTAGACTTGTCCCACTAGCTCTTGTAACTTAACCCATTTATTTTAATCTATATTCTGTTGAGTGTCTCATCACCTCATCTCTCCATACTGCTCATGTTGCTTTCTCTGTGTCTGGTTGGTGACCCTGCATTTCTTCTTCCCTGAATTCTCTCTGTCTCCAGAAGTCCCATCTAATCTTTTCCTGCCTAGCTATTGGCCATTCAGCTCTTTATTATGTCAATCTTAGTGACACATTTTCACAGAGTGTAAAGGAATACTCCACAGCAATCATCTTTAACTGGCTTGTGCACACTGCACTTCCCATACTTGTAGTAATGCAGGTACATATGTTACCTTCAAAAGTTCACATGTTTTCAGAAAAAAGGACCATATATCAATGAAGATAAACAGCCTAGGTGATCCAGCCTCTCAGAATGCCTCTTTTGCAGTTTTCTCAAAATTCTGCATCTAGAACATCTTCAAAGCTTCTAGTTGAGATGGTCCAACCTCACAGACTATTTAACCAAGACTTTAGATAAGACCTATACTTTCCCATCACATAGAGACTAAACAAAAATAATACAGCTAGTTCTCCTAGGACTTGACGACCATTATCCCAATTTTCTCAGGGTCCCCTAAAGATGCCATTGTCCCCAAGCAACAAGAAGCAATTTAGAAAACATTACACTACATTGCCAAGAAGTGGGGTGGATAGTTTTTGGTCATTCTGTGGGTAACAGCTGTCAGCTTAGTCTCCATGGAATGGTGGCAGAGAGTGAGCAGAGGCCAAATTAGGTAATATCCTTCAAAGATGATGGGATTGGATTTGGAGGAGAAGAGCAACCGTGAAGATCTGAAGCTAGCCCACCTGCTTCACTGGCCAGAGTCTATTACAATCTTGTGTAATCTATTTTTGAAATAATAGAATGAATCTATATATGTGAACTTTATGAACATCTTCCAATATTAAGGGATACTTGGTATTCATATTTTGAAAATTGATCTTTAAATTTCCTTAAAATCTGTTTCAAAACTATGATTTAGTAGATATTGTCTGTTATTAAATTAGGTCAAAACATGGTGTTCATCTGTGACATCTCAGGTAATGGAAGCTATCTTAATCATCAAACATTTAAAAATTAACATGGTTAGCAATATGTTCCTATATTTTAATTTTTGGGGTTTTATTTCGTTATGTTTTGACTTACAGATCGGTTTTGTTCTATATAATCCGACTGGAGGTTTTGAATGGGATCTGACAGATCATCGCAATAATATGTTTATTACCATATACTTTTGTTGGCATTATGCATTTGCCTATATCATCATTGGAGTGAATTATGCTGTTATCACTTGGTGAGTTACTGATTTTTGTTCATGGATATTCTATACCTTGGTACATGATTATCAAGTCCCAACAATATTGAAAGAAAACTCTTGAAAGGTGCCAATTCTTACTGCCATAGCTCAGTGGATTTCCTAATCCAAATCACAAGGCATACAGTCTCCATCCTACAGGTTTCTGTATTTGCAGTATTTCTATCTAGAGTGTTCCACTTAGTAATCACTAGCCCTTGAGCATTTTAGTTATGGCAAATGCCAAATTAATTTTAGTAAATATAAATATCTCATAAGGTCTAATCTCTTATTTACTATGTTTAGAAACTACACATTTACTTTCCAGTCTCTCCCTATCCCTAACACATTTCATTCTAAACTTTCCAATCGCGCACTCCTGCTACCTGGCATATTCACATTAAGTGGCTATCTCTCCTTTCAAAGAGCCTATGATTCCTCTAACCCATTCATCCACCAGACATTTTAATAAAAGTAGTGCTGACTATTATTAGTTCATTTGTGTTAGTCCTCCCAGTTATCCCAGTTACCTTGAGCTGTCATAAGGGCACACTGCCAAACATGTACCAGTTAATCTGTGTTGCAGATAAAAATTAAATACATCATATATGCTTCATTTATTTTGAAAGTCTTATATGCCATTTAGTTTGGCTCTTTTATTGATATTGTAAAGATGATAGCAAGATTCAGTACTGCCTTTATTTGATTAAATGACTGGAAAACTCAGCCCTGAAATTCAGGGTAAGGAGTCATAAAAATCTGGTAGTGAGGGTTTCACCATGTGTTTGTATCTCATCCATTTGTGATGAAGTTTCAAACATAATGTGATTGGTCTGGCACGGCATACCTATTGTCAAGCAGCCTAAGTAACATGGAATAACCACCCCCAGAATCTCTAAAAGATGAGGCTATCTGTCAGCTTACTAAAGTGATCATTCAAAGATCATCCTGCCTCACATCTGCAGTCTCCATTATGATGACTTATATATGGGAGCTATCTGCTCAGAAATATTGTTATGTGCTTAGTATATCTTACATTTAACATCATGTGTTCCAAAGAACATTTTCACAAGATCTCCTCTGTGGAAATAAGAGGAAATACCAACCAATCAAAACCAGGTTTTCCAAATGATAATTCATATGAGCCACTTTAATAAGCAAAGTAGAGATTATCTAAATACCAGATTTATGTCAGCTAACTGATAGGTTAGCTCTTGTCTTTCTCATATATATGAAGGGAATATAAGGTATCAAAAGAATATATCTCTCTCATTTTAACTTCTAAAATTTGTTCCATTCTACTGAGTAGTGGTTATTTTCCGTTCTTGCTTGTTGGCTTTCTCTTGGCTCCCTGGAGGCATCTCAAAGCCTTAGAGCTACTAGAGACAAATAGAACCTGGTAAAGACTTCTGAATGTGCCTGGAGTGTGGAGTTAAGTGGCTTGTGATAAGGGCATATATAAACCAGAGAAAAGAAAGACAAAGTCACCAGGGGCTATGCAAATAATTAATTCATAGGCTAGAGAAATGGCTTGATGATAAAGAGCACTTACTGTTCTCTCAGAGGACTCCAGTTTATTTCCCAGCACCTGAGACTTCTGGCTCTCAACCACCCACTACTCCTGTTCTCCCATACCTGAAGTCTTCTTGTAGACTTCAGAGTAGCCTCATACATGTGGTCTACACACACATGTAAATAAATAAAAATTTAAATAATATGATATAAGCAACTAGATGTACTTTTATTCTCCACAACAAATTTCAGTAACAAGCTAGTCGATCAACCAGCCAACCCTTTACATTTCATACATGTTGAAGTTGTGCAATGAGGAAATAATATGTGACTTTGAAAAATGAAGAAAGGAAGTTTTCAGGCTTTCACTTGTTACAGAGTATTAGCCATTCATGCAGAAGTGGCTTGAAGGTTTGAGAAGGACAGTGGGACAATATTAGTAGTCAGTAATCAAGGTCAAGCATTTTAAGTGGTTGTCTTCAGCTATTAAATCTAAAGATGTTTCAGAAACTAATCAGTCATTGTTTACTGGAGTTGGAATGAGATGGCAGAGGCTGAAGAATTCTTTTCTATTTATAGATGAGTAATGTGACCCTACTGTCAAAGTGTCCAAAATGCTACATGCCAGAATCGCTTCAGACTGGCTAGGGTTCAGTCAGCAGATAGGATGAAGTCTCTGCTCTGTTGACACTTGGTGGGACTGAGAGTTCAAGGGAAAGCAGGGAGCATTGACAGGGTTGGGCAGAGCTCCATCAGAAGGAAGGCAGGAAGTAAAGCTCATGTGTGGGTGGCCTGGTGAACTTTCTCTTAAAAGAGAATTTGCTTTATCAAATGTCTTTCCATAGTCTTGTGCATTTCTGGAAATCATATCTTATTCATGTAATCAAAGTCACAGTGTCCTTATGGAAATCACACATGTGAAAAAGTTTACATATGTCTTTTTTAAAATTTTCAAGTGCATTTTTATTTTTTAATATTTATTAAAAGATATTAAATTTTGCTTCACATGTCAATGTCAACCCCAGCTCCCTCTCCTTCTCCCTCCCCCTCCCACACCCTCCACCAAACCCCCTCCCCCCAATCCCCACTCCTTTCTCCAGGGAGGGTAAGACCCTCCATGGGGGTTTGTCTATAGTCTGTCATTTCATCCAGGACAGGACCTAGGCCCTCTCCCAAGAGTCCAGGCTGAGAGAGTATCTCTCATTGTACCTTTTCTCATCAGAGACTCAGAAAACCTGCTGAGCTTGGGCCACTAAGTAGCTTCCTGTCTTCCAGTGTTAAAAAATTATCATCACCACTTCCTTCTGAGTTTCTCTTGAAGTGAAGATTGTGTCAAGGGAGAAAATAGTTCTCTAAACTTCTTAACTCACCATGGACAGGGCAATCACCTGATATTGAGTGTTCCATGTCCTGTGCAAAAAATAAACTTCTAAAGAGGCAAGGAGGGATTAAAAATCGACCCAGACTGCCCTGCCCCTTCCCTGGTGTGGCTGTTTCCTTATACTTTGCTTTATTCTACATAAACTTTCAGGAATCTCTGACACCGAGTAAATACAATGTGCTTTTCCTCTAGGCACAGAAATAAGCTGGGGTGTTAGCATTTTTTATTTTAGTTTTCACGTAACCAAGACTATTCTCCTCTCCTCCCCATCCAGGTTGGTTAAATGGAGACTTAGGAAATTGGGCTTCTCACAAGTTCCACTCCTAAAAACCATCGTGCAAGAAGAAGAATCGGAAGAGATGTGAACTGGTTGGTCAGCCATTCTCTCTTACATAAACCGTTTCTTTTTGTAATGAACCTTGCTTTTATTTTACTTGTGACCTGCATTCAATACACACAACGGAACTGTACTGTTTATGGTTCCGATTATGCTAAAAGTACTTAAATGTAACTATTTTATTTTTATCTTTGAAAGTGCCACATGGAATCCTAGTCTTTCTGTATCTTGAAATTCACTAGAAATGGAGCAGCAATAAGAAGTTAATATAGAAACCTCAAGGTTTTGTTTTCATTATTGGGCTATGCCACTTTCTCATGTGACACAGAAAAAGCTGAATAATTCAGAAATACCTTTCTGTGAGATAGTCCCCGTGGAGAATCAGACATAAATCAGGACAGTGTTCATACTGTGAGATTGGGAGCATAGGTAGGAGAATTTCTGGAAGCTCTCAGACTGGACAAATCTTCATACATCTCTGTGACTATCAAAGAGACCCTATCTTCAGGTGGAAGGTGAAGACCAACACTGAAGGTTGTCTTCAGACAGCTACATATGTGCCGTGGTATCCACATTCACTCACTTCATATATACTGGCACACATGTATACAGACACATTTCACACACAGACACAGTCACACACACACACACACACCAAAAGAGAAAAGTATAATTTGCAATAAGAATTCTCTTTTCAATAGTGATCTTTTATGTGAAAATACATCTATATGAATTTAACTTTTGACAGGATTATAATGGGTGAATATAGATCTTCTTTATTAGGTTTGTGACAAAACACTAAATGTTGTTTTCTATAAAAATTAATATGGATGATTTTGTTAATTCTTCTAAACACTGGCTTCACTTTTTGTTTTTTCACATTACTACTTAATTTTAATGCTGCTATTTGTTTGTTGTATAATTTATCTTGATTTCTTAATTAGTTTTAGCTTCCAATTAGTGGTCTGTTTGTTCCCAGTAGTCCATTTCATTGATCATTTCAATGATCTATCTTAGGACAAACTTTTAGCTTCATTATACCTTTCTGAAGTTGGTCTTTTAGGAAATAAATTATGAATAAAGAATATTTTGTGTTTTCCTATGTTCTCTTACAACCTCAAGGACATTGTAGCTTTTTAAAAAACATACAGAACCACGTTGGTTTCTGAGAGTACTCTTCCTTCAGTGCCCTTCAGTACCTGAGTCCCCATCTCTTTCCTGATAGTTAGAACCTATTTCCACCATATAACGTTCCCCTAAATGCTTTACCTGTTCTTATTTATATTATATTTCTTCTCACTGGTTCTCTGGGTAACTCAGTGCTTACAGAATTGGATACCTCATGAATGCAGACAGTCAATTACCAAAACCTTAGGTAAGATTGCTGCCAGTAATGACTCTGAGGAGGTTTTATTATTTTATTTATTTACTTTTGTGGATTGCCAGGAGCTCTTTGAATTGCTCTTTGGCTTGTTTACCTTACTTATTCTAAGTGATTTGCAGACGTGCATTTAGTTTCTTTTTAGCCCGTAGCGGTTGTGTTCATATTCATAATCCTCATTCCTTATGCCATTGCATCTGACCTCTTGGTTAAAAATTGAGAAAGCAAAGGAAGAACTTCAATTTTATTGATGCCTACTCCTTTTACTTTATGAATGATAAAGTCCTGTGTGTATACTACAGCAACATAGAGTTCTTACATAGTTTCTATATCTTAAACATTATGTAACTACTTATAAAATAGGTAAAATTTACAAATTATAACTGTATACTATGATGAGGGAAAAGTAAACATGCCATTAACTGTGTTTGGATCTAAATTGTTGCCCAGGAAGCAATGTGCTTTATAGGCTTTGTTCTCATGTGACTGGCTTTTTGGAAGTGATTGGATCACAAAGGACTGTAGCTCATGTGACTGGCTTTTTGGAAGTGATTGGATCACAAAGGACTGTAGCTCATGTGACTGGCTTTTTGGAAGTGATTGGATCACAAAGGACTGTAGCTCATGTGACTGGCTTTTTGGAAGTGATTGGATCACAAAGGACTGTAGCTCAATGTGGGTCTATGAGAATGTGGAAACTGGTTTGAGGAATCAGCTCACTAGAAGCTTGGCTTTGGGATTACATCTTGTCCTTTGGCCTTTTCTCATATTCTCACTTTTTTTCAGATATCATGACATGAAGAGTGTCGTCTGCCATACACTGAAGTAAGGCAGTCTAAACCAAGAAAATGTAGTAGACCCTGGACTGAAGCTATTAAAACATGGAGCAAGTATGAACTCCTTTACATTGTTCATGTGAGGTATTTTGTGTTTTGAGTTTATATGCACAGATCTGTTTCTAGGTTTTCTATTCTGTTGAATTGGCCTTTTTGCCTAAGTGCTGCTGTTCTAAGTTGCTACAAGAATTCTATAAAAACCTCAGCCCAGAAAACGGGTGCAGTTGTGGCATGCATACCTTGGCAGTAACCAACAGGCTTCTATTTGTACTTAACACCCATTCAACAGGAAAGAAGCCATGCCAGGTAGTGAAAACCATGTTAACTCCTTAGTGTTGATGGAATTATTGTTATTGGAGGAGAATCTGCAACCACTAATTTACTAAATCAGCATAATCCCTAACAATCTATAAACATTCATCCTTATACTGACAGACCCCAACTCAACATTTTTAGATCCCTAGCAACTAGCCCAGCACAGAGTAACTTGTTCTTCTGCCCTCTCCTGAGAAACCGGTGACCTCAAGATAAACTTAGGGAACCAGCTCACCACATTCCTGCTCAGTGTTTAACTGTACAATGCTCAAAGAATGTTTGCTCAAGGTAACCTATAACCTTTGCATTAAGGCATGAGCTATCACCTAACTTCCCCATCCTTTATGTTGTTTACTTAACTTCCCTATCGTTTATGGTGTTTGCCTAACTCCCCCATTCTTTATGGTTTTTCCCTTTAAAAAACCCCCGACTGCAGCTACTGGGGGTCAAACTCCTCTGCCCCTGCGAGGGTTACGAGCTCAGCCCCAGTGCACTGGTTCCCTGAATAAACCTCGTGTGCTTGCATCAAGAATGGTCTCTCTTGAATTATTGGGGTGTTGGCTTATCCCGAGACTTGAGTGAGGGGCCTTTCAATACCTACAGATAAGTGTAGTCTTCGCCACTCATCAAGGAAACTTCCTTTGTAACAGAGACCACTATAGAAAAATACAACCAATCAATATGCAGAGTTGTGGAACCTGATCCCAATGGACACATCTACAAGTCATCCCTGCCCTTAAGGTTCAGGGAACATTTTAGAAGAGGGTGTGGGAAGATTGATTTTAAGAGTCAGAGGAACAGGGAGATTGCTGTGAGATTGTGCCCCTGGTAATTTCAGAAGCTACGCCTATAACATGTCACAATGAGCTGAACAAGGATGAAACCAATGTACATGCCAAAGTGGACAGAGAAAAGCCTACAAAGTCTCAACCCTACCCAGAGAACTACAGACAAGTGAGAAAATCTGGGAGTGGAAAAGGTGGTCCTCCCTAGGGAAGAGCACACCAAGTGGTTATCCAATACCAAATGGTCAGCCCTAAAAAATACATACAAGTAACATTATACAGACTGTATATTTAGTAATAGATACGTATACACATGTACATTTATGTATGCAATCACAATTAGTAAAAAAAGGAGAGAGAAACCATGAATTTGAAGGAGAGTAGGAGAGTTATATGGGAGACTTTGAAGGGAGGAAAAGGGAGAAATATAATTATATTACAATCTAAAATAATGTTTTAAAGATAGGAGTTATCAGCCATTCTCATTTGTCAAGAGACGGACTTTAGCTGGAAAGCAAATGTTATTGGAATGTAATCTGCCAGCTCCTCTCACCAACAGGGAACACTTACATACCATAGCTTTGTGAGAAATTTTAAAGAATTTCCTTTATTCCCTCAGTCAAGGGTCTCAAAGAACAATCCCTGGTTTAATGACTCACAAAGGAAGCCATATAGTTCAGTGTGTATTTGTATTCATGGCTAAGTAGTTTTTACTGTGAATAAAAACATAAAGCCAAATTTCAAGTTTAAACTGCGCATAGCCTAGTCTAGGGGAAACCTGGTTCGTTCTTGCAACAGTCCTCTTTCCTCATTCCCTCATTAATTACAGGAAATGATGACATCTTTAAGGCAGCATTCCCTGGGGAGACTCCTTCCAGAAAATGCCAAAAGGCTATGTTAGATACTTGCCATTCAGGCACACTTTGTCAGGCAAATGATACCATTTTAGATTCCCAAAGAAAATTAATTTTGTAACATGTTATTTTTAAGGCTTCAATATCCCCAAAGGCTGGCTGTTGAAGGCTTGCTAACTAGCCTTTGGGGGCTTTATGTAGGTGGTACAACTTTTAGATTAGCAGTAATGGAGGGAAATCATGTTAATGAGTATGTCATTTGAGAAGATACTAGGTTCTCACTATTGCTTTTCATTTTCTGATTGTCGTGAGATTAGAAGCTCCCCCTCCTCTCCTCCCACCCCCACCACCACACACACACACACACACACACACACACACACACACATACGTTCTTGACACATTAGTTTTACCTTGTCACAGAGATCTTGCCATAGCAATGGAAAGACTACAAACACAGTATAAATTTAATTTAGGCAAAATTGAATCACTGCATACACTCTATATCATCAAATATGACAGCAAATAGCTAACCTTGGTAACAGTTATTTCTTAAGATAGGGAGTTTCAGATCTATTATGTGGCAGTAAGATGGTAATCTTATTCTTTTCTCCTTTTTTATTTAAATTAGAAACAAGTTTGCTGTGCAGAGATTGTCCTTTGTGACCGCTGCTGCTTTTCTCGGCTTCGAAACTCTCTGGACTAAGAGTCTAGGAGTTTCTGAACAAGGACATACTTTCTTTGAAGATAAGATTCAGAAGATAAAACCATGTCCTTGTAGTTTATTCAACCCAGAGTGGACTGAGGCTAACTGAAATAGTTCAAGAAAATAAATTTTGACATAAAGCAGAGGCAGTATTGTAAAGCTCATCATCACAAGAGTAGTAAATGTGGATTCTCATGATCTCTACAGTATTCAGGTATTTTGTAAAACATAGACAAGGCATGCGAATCAGGGCCAATTGAAACACTAAATGAAAATACAGTATTAGCAGTCCGCGTCTAAAATCTTGCTTCTTCCATGTGCTTAGTCCTGCAGGCAATGTACTGATCTAACTGCAGCCTGCTTCCTTTTAGAAGGGAAGAGAATGGCGCATACCCAGGACGTGATAGAGTAACAGCACTTTTCTTTGAAAATACATCTAGCTGCCAGGCGTGCGGGCACATACCCATATTCCTAGAATGGGGAAGGCAGATGCAAAGGGTTATGAGGCTGAGGCCAGCTTGGACTACACAATGAAATTCTGCCTCTAAAAACAAACAAAAACATGTCCCAGCCTGGTTCCAGAGCCGCATCAGTCCCAAATAAACACACAGGAGGCTATATTAATTATGAAGCTGTGGCCTTGCTTGTTTCTTACTGGCTAGCTCTGACTTAAGTATTTACCCCATACTTCTCTCTAACTGGAGAAGTTTCTGGGCTTCCTACCCCATGGCGTTACATCTTGACTCTCTGTGTTTTTGCTACCCAGAGTCCTCCTGGATTCCTAGTCCCACCTATCTTGGTTCCCTATTGGCCAACAGTGCTTTATTGACATATACACAGGACTTCCCCAACATCTCCTTTTTTCTGTCTAAACAAAAAGAAAGGTCTTAACTTTAACATAGTCAAATTATATATAACAGAACCGTTATCAAGTAAGAACACAGTTACAATATTTTGTCTACCAACATTCAGCAAGATTTAAAGAAAATATCATCTATCCCATCCTTGTGAGTCCAAAGTTCTATATGTAGCTTATCTTTTATCATAACTAAGGAAAACTATAACTATCTGCCTTCAACTCTATCAAAGACCACAGAAGGATAATATATAAACACTAGAACTGACAGAGACATCTTACTGTCTGGACAGTCACCCGAAGTTCCTCTGTAATGTTTACTCTGTGCTGTTTTGTAAGTTTGGATAAAGGTTTGTCTATTTTGCCGAAGTCTAGGAAGTCTTTAATTTCTTTTTTTTTATTTCTTCCTTGACCCAGGAATGGTGCAATTGTGTATTGTTCAATTTGCATGACTTTATAGGTTTTCTGCAATTTGTGTTGTTGTTGACTTCTAACTTTAAAGCACAGTGGCCTGATAAGATACATGGGGCTATTCGAATTTTTTGTACATGTTGAGGTATGCTATGTTGTCAAGTATGTGGTTGATTTTAGAGAAGGTTCCATGTGGTGCTATGTTTGGATGGAATGTTCTACTGGTGTCTGTTAAACTCTATTGGGTCATAACTTCTATTAGTTCCTTTGTTTCTTTGTTAAGTTTCTGTCTGTTATTCCTGTCTAGTGGTGAAAGTGGGGTGTTGAAGTCTCCAACTTTAAGTGTGTGAGATTTTATGTGTGATTTGAGTTTTAGTAATGTTTATTTTACAAATGTGGATGTCTTTGTATTTGGGGCATAGATGTTCAGAACTGAGACTTCATTATGGTGGATTTTTCCTGTGATGAATATGAAATGACCTTCCTCATCTCTTTTGATTGATTTTAGTTTAAAGTGTAATTTGTTAGCTATTAGAATTCTACCTCCACTTGTTTTTTGGGTCCATTTGATTGGAAAATCTTTTTCCAATCCTTAACTCTGAAATAATGTCTGTCTTTGAAGTTGAGGTGTGTTTCTTGTATGCAGCAGAAGGATGGGTTCTGACTTCGAATCCATTCTGTTAGCCTGTGTCTTTTTATGGGTGAGTTAAGGCCATTAATATGGAGGGATATTAATGACCATTGATTGCTCATTCTTCTTTGATTTGGATTTGGTTTTGGTAATGGTAGAATTGTATGTGAATTTCCACCCCTTTTTTCTTTTGGCCGTTGGTAAAGTGGAATTATCTATTGCCTATGTTTTTCTGGTTGTAGTTAACTTCTTTGGGTTGGAGTTTTCCTTCCAGAACTTTCTATAGGGCTGGATTAGTGAATATGTATTGTTTAAATCTGGTTTTGTCATAGGATATCTTGTTTTCTCTATAGTAATTGAAAACTTTGCTGGGTATAGTAGTCTGGGCTGGCATCCATGGTCTCTTAATGTTGGTAGAGTATTTATCCAGGACCTTTTGGCTTTCAGAGTTTCCATGGAGAAGTCAGGTGTAATTCTGATAGGTTTACCTTCATATGGT